GGCCTTCTGGCTTCCAAGCAGACTCTCAGGATGAAGTGGAGGAGGTGAAAAGAAATCTTACAACTGTGTCAATCATAGTAAGTCTAACAGGAGACCTTCAGCTGATTTAACAACCACTGATAGAACACCGACTAAGTACAAGGCAGCACGCTGAGCCCTCCTTTCACAGAGTGTTCCAGTATTTCCTGCTTCTCCTGTTTCAGACACACAGGCATCTCCTAAGAGAAAGCTGTACTTCCGTTGAAAGATCACAGGTATTTATTAAAGATCTCATTGATAATTCTAAAAATGGCACGGAGATAAGACCCTCTTCCATGCGGGGAGCACGGCTGGACCTGAGGACACAAGGGTGGGGCGTACCAGACCAGATTACACGCGGGCAATGACCACAGAATTGAAGCATTCAGGCTGTGTCTCCCTCCAATGCATCTAACTGTGGAAACTCAATCAGGTCCAGAAATGAATCAATTTCCTTTGCCTGTGTCCTTAAATTTGATGAATAGAGCCTTTGCTGAGAGCTACTGAAGCTGCTATTCATCTCAGTTAGTTGCTAAATAAAACGTTGTTCTTGGATGTAATTCTGGCGAATATGACTTTGGAGATTTTTCGTTTAACTGTGTAAGTCCAAATTATTCCCCAAGTGATTCTACATTTGAGCTATTTTTGCTCCACATGTTCTATATTTTTTTCCATGTCAGGGACTAGGAATCTAGGAAGACCGGGTTTCTTGTTGACGGTGACGAGGATGAACTTGAGTCTACGTGCAAATGTTTGTGACAAACAGCTAAACCCTTTTTGTAATGCTTACTGAGAAGTTCTTTTCTATTCAATGACATTTGATAATTAGGAGTTTTAGACCTTTAGATGTAATGAAGAAAGACACAGTTTAAATAAACAAATAAGCTTGTGTCTGATGAGAGGGTAGGCAGTTTTGACTTGAAGTAGAGGGTCTAGTTGAACTTTCTTTCTATAATAGTTTGTAAGTCCGTGGTTTTCTACAGAGAAGAACTTGCTCATGGTCATGAAACTAATAGTGGTAGAATGTAAATTGGAATATGAGTCCTTTTATCTTTCTTAAAATTTCTAAACAAATTTTAATTTTTATCTAAGTGAGGCAGGCTCATAGTTTCAAAAGTCAAAAAAGTAACAACTAAAAGGCTTCTCACAACATACACCAGTCCTTGACCCATCTCTCACCACAACCCTAGTCTCTGTCCTCAGGGAGCTATTGCTCCAACATTTATACGTCATCATTTTCCTATATTATGCACTTTTATCCATTATTTTTATTATGAAAAATGTCAAAAAGCATATATATACATATAACCATACACACACTTTTGATACATTATTTAAAAGTAAGCTGCAAACATCATGACCTTCACTCCTAATACTATATAGCAATACTAAATAAAAATTATGTTATCTTTACCTCCCCTGGTTTAGTCATTATCATGTGACTTTCCATTATGGTTGTTGAGGATTTAGTTTTCTTAAACCACCATCCATCTGTTTCACATCCTTCATCCACTCAGTATCATTACAATATAATTTTTAGTTAAATATATTCAATATTGTATAATCATTACTTTCCCTGAAATTAATAATTGCCTTGATTTTTCATTTGCTTATTTTCTTTGCTTAGTTTCTTGTTAATTCTTTTTACACCTTCTAAAAGCCTGTTAAAGCATTTTATTCACAGATCTATCTGTCTATCTGTCTAGCAATTTGGTTTTTGTTTTTGTCTTCAGACATCCCTCCTCGAGCTCCTCAGTGTCCTTTGGCTGCCCTCCTTGAACTGCCTTTGCCTATGTCCAAGTCTAGATTCCAGGTCTCCTGGGTCTCATGCTTGGTGTACTCCTTGTCTTGGTGGGACACAGCCTCTAACAGGTTCATGAGGAGCAAAGGGCAGCATAAAGGACCATGTCTATCTCTTGAGTCACGCTGCTCCAGTCAGGACTGGTCCCCCTCCTCCCCACCTGGTGTGCAGCTGTGCCCCTGTTTCTGTTCATCCTGAGGACTCCGGTCACCAACTCCTGCCATCCAGCTCCGAGCACCGTATACCACGTCTTCCTCTTTCTTGGCTCATTTACTCCCTTGCTTTGGTGGAGCATAGTCCCCAGGAGCTTCCTGAGAAATGGTACATGAGAGGTAAAATTCTTTAGAACTTTCTTGTCTGAAAACATCTTTGTTCTACGCTTGGTTGGTATGTTGGCTGACAATGCATTCCAGGCTGGAAATAACTTTTCTGCAGAGTTTGAAGTCATTACTTCATTGTCTTTTAGCTTCCTTCTAGTGATGCAGGTGAGAAGTCTGAAGTAATTTTGATTCCTGATCTTTTCTATGCCACCTCTTTTTGCTTTTTTGAAGTTTATAGAATCTTCCCATTTTGAAACATTAGCTTGATGTCTTTTGTGATGAATCACTGTGATTGTGATGCTGGATATCTAGTGGGCCCATTCAGTCAAGATTCATATTCTTTCATTCTGGGAAATTATTTAGAAATATTTTTTGATGCTTTCTTCCCTTCCTTTTTCTATTTCTTTGTCTTTTTTTCTCTATTTTCCAGAAAAATTATTCAACTTTCTTCTTCAACATTTCTAATTCCAGCTCTAATACCATTTCTGCATTTAGGACTCCAAATTCTAAAAATTGTTTTTTCAAACAACCCAATTTTAAAATGGGCAGAAGAACTGAATAAATATTTTTCTAAAGAGTAAATGCAGATGGCCAACACGCACACAGAAAGATCAACATCAACATCACTAATCATCAGGGAAATGTAAATCAAAACCACAGTGAGGTATAACCTCACACCTGTCAGAGTGGCTAACATCAAAAAGAACACAAATAACAAATGCTGGCAAGGATGTGGGGAGAAGGGAACCCTTGTACACTAGTGGTGGGAATGTAAATTGGTGCAGCTCCTGTAGAAAACAGTACAGAGGTTTCTCAAAAAAACTGAAAATAGAACTACCATATGAACCAGCAATCACACTCTTGGGTATATAATTGGAAAAAAAAGAACATTAATTTGAAAAGATATATGAAACCCAATGTTCACAGCAGCATTATTTACAATTGTCAAGATATGGATGTAACCTAAGTGTCCACCAACAGATGAATGGATGAAAAAGATGTGGTATATATATATATATATATAAAGGAATCCTACCCAGATATAAACAAGAATGAAATTTTGCCATTTGCAGCAGCATGGGTGAATTTGGAGGGCACTCTGTTAAGTGAAATACGTCAGATAGAAAAAGACAAAGACAAATGCTGTATGATATCACTTACCTGTGGAATCTAAGAAATACAACTAGTGAATATAACAAAATTCACAGATGTAGAAAACAAACTACTGGTTATTAGTGGGATAGAGAGGGGGCAATATAGGGGTTGGGGAGTGGGAGCTACAAACTACTGGGTGTAAGTAAGTAGGCTACTAGGATGTATTGTGCAACATGGGGAATAGAGATAATATTTTGTAATAACTGTAAATGGAGTATAAACTTTAAATATTGTATAAAAATATATAAGGTTGAAAGCAAAAAAAAAATTTTTGTTCTTTGAAAGTTCTTGGGTTTTTGGTTTGTTTGAAGTTTGGGGTTTTCTGTTTTGTTTTGTTTTGTTTTTTGACTAATAGCATTTGTTCCCCAAATGTAATAACTCTCCAAGGATATTGATAACTTTTTGGTGTTTTGCTGTCTTCTTTTCTCTGCATTGCTTCTGATTTCTCCAAGTTGCTTTTCTCCCTGTTGGTTCATTTTAGCTTCTGCCTTCAAGGTTCATGACATCCCGTTGATATCTGGCCATCCTTGGCTGTCTACTTATGTTTAATATGGGGAACCAGAAAGTTGATTGAAAGTTTTGTGTTGTTTAGTTTCGGCCTATTCATGTTGCACTTCACTGTAGAATGATCTGGCTGGGTTGCCTGTTGGGGAGCTTTGGATATCAGTAGGTTTAGGTCTTTCCTCTAGGGCTGGTAAACTTCCACCTGGAATACTTTTTTCTCTCTTCTGCCTAGAAGGACAAAATTTGGCCTTCTATATTCTGAGAGTTAAATAGGAAATAAGCTGAAAGGAATCATCATTCGGAGCACAAACATTTGCTTAATTTCCCTGTTTTGATATGGTAGCCACCCCCCTGAGCCCTGCCTGGCATCTCCCAGTCCAGAGGTCCTCAGTATCCCCTCTGCAGGGCACAAATCTCCAGTGCCTTCAAACAACAACTTCTCTCTCACACTTGGCTGGGCAGTTCCTCTGCTGGTCTTGTTTTGCTCACCCACACAGCAGCATGCAGCTAGCTGGCTGGGCGACAGGGCGGGCAGTCTAAGATGGCCTCCCTCACACATCTGGCAGTTGGTGCTGGTGGTGGTTGCCTGATTCTGCTCCGTGGGCCTCTCAGTCTGCTGTAGGCTACACTCACTGCCTCAGGTGGCTGCCTCTTCCCGCGCCCCAGAAAGTACAGGTAGCACTCATGGCCACTGGAGGCGAAGGCTTAGGAATTCAGTCCACCTCACTTCCACCACATTTTATTGGTCAAAGCGAACAAGGCCAGTCTGAATTCAACGGGGCAGAGAAATGGACACCACCTTGGATGAGCTGATCAGCAGTCACATGACAGAAGGGTGTGCATTCTGGGGTGGGGTGGGATTTTTTGTTATTCAGTGAGGATACAGTAATTCCACATTCAATACTTATCTTCTTAACAAGGCAAACACACCCATCACTGTGATTAATAATTTCCCACTCTTTTTTTTTAATTCAGGTAAATTGAAAAACTATTTTTGCAATCATTGCAGTTGAAGGCAAGACTTTTCGGTAACCTCCTGAAAAGGAATTAATAACCTCCTTGGTTTTTGTTTTTTTGAACTGAAGCTTACAAGTCATTCACTCATAACAGAAAGATCACCTCTGAAAAGACCCTTCAAGTCAGGAGAGTCTAGAATTCCAGGATTTACATTCACCCTTGAGGACTTTACTGGCTCCTGTTACTAAAAATGTTACAGTTTTCAAGTGTCTTTGGCATGTTCCCTCATTGAACGGAAATCTTAGAGGCTTTTCAGATCATTCAAATCAGTTTAGGATGTGCCCTTGGTAGAAAGAGAGGTAAAAACCCTCACTTCTTGAGCCTATTTCAAAATTTTCATCCAGCTTATGCTTGAGAACAGGTCGAAGTGGTGGCGCTGCTGGAAGTCCTCTGCCGGCAGCCTGGGCACAGAGCAGCCACAGGGAGATGGGAAGGGGCCTCTCCCCTCCACGCTGCTGGTGATTATTTCCTTTCCCCAGACCTCGCCATGCTTATCTGTTGAGAGTCTAAGAGGTCTGGATGAAAGCCGGGCCTGGCTGGCGGCAGCAGCATAAAGGAGGCACTGAGATTTGCCAAGAGTTGGTATCGGCCTAGAGCAGGTGAGACTCGGAGGAAAGGTACGGGCTCTCTTTAGCCGTGCCCACCTGGGCTTGGGCTTTTTTCCTTTTTCCCACTTCCTTTTCAAATTCAACGTTCAGTTGCTACTTTTGAAACGATGGTGCGGTGATTGCAAGATTGGAGAATCTTTTCTTTTGAACAATTTTTTTGCAGTGGCAAGAGAGACACTACTTAACACTTCAGCATTTCTGTAAACCATCTTACATCTTCCATAAGCATGGTTTAAACTCATAATTTACACATCATTATAGAAGACATTCCAGAGAGCATTATATTAATTGAATTCAATGAAAAAAATAAAATGCAAAGCTGGATGAGCAGAATAACCAAAAGGTTGACAGGAAAAACAACAAAGCATTAAAAGTATTTATTTGGGGGAATTAGGACTTTAATGGGTTTTTTTCCTTCTATATTCCTGAATTTTAACATTTTTTACTGTAAAAATAAATTTGTACCTACAGGAACTTTAACTCATGTTTAAGGAGCACTTAAAATTTTTGTTCTCACTCCTAAAATAATGCATAGCTAGTTTGTATAGATTGATGCAAAAACAGTGGCTTGCAGTTTATTTTATATTTGACTGTAATTTTATGGCCATGGATTAGTTCTATGACAGCAAATACAGGCTAGATTTACAATGTCAGTGTCTTTCCTCTCCAAGGAAAGTATATTAAACTGCCACTCTGGTGCCCAGGCCATCTCAACCTGAAAACTCAATAGCCTTTAGACCTACTTTCCTTATAAAGAGAAAGAAACAAACAAACAGAAGAAGAGAAGGAATGTTTTCTACAACAATTTCAAATAGGTACTATTAGCTTGCGTTCCTGAGCAGTGCTCTTGAGCAGAAATCCTAGGAGCAACTGGCTTATCAGTTGATGGAGGAAAAGATATTCAAGGAGAAATCCACACAGGCGCTGTTAGCCAGTGGCCAGCACCGAACGAACGCACAAAATGATAAGAATGCCAATGTTTAAAAGAGCTGGAACTTTTTGAAACAGAGTAGTACATGGACTTTGTCAATCTGATGTTTTAACGAGGCGATAGATGCCACCATTTTACTTTGCCAACTTTTTTTTTCGGTGTGTGTGGGGGGAATGTTTGTTTCTGAAGATACTAATTATATCTCAAGCTGCAGCTAAGAAAAAATTGCCCTGTAGACTACTGTTGCTACCAGCAACTGGGCTCAGAATTGGGTATTTTTGCAAAACAGGAATACTGGAAGTCTTTTAATGTCACTTAAAAATACTAATAATTTAAGCTTTCTGAAATTTCCAGGGTTTAAAGAAAAATCATTAAAGCAATTTCTATTACCAAGAATGCAAATGACAAAGAAGTATTTACAGTGGGATTTCTCTCTTCTACTATAGTAGGGTGTCCTTAAATACAGTGAGAGAGCGTTATCAGTAAATGAGAATCAATTTGTATTTTACCTTTTAAATTAAGAATAATATATAGTATGCCTCTGTCCCACAAAACATGTTTTGAAGTAGATAAACTGCTCGTAGTAACTTCACAAATGTTCCTTTGACTTTGGATATATTATTTCAGCTGTCTCTGGTGAGGGCATTTCATATGCTTATAAATCTCTTTAGTTTCTTTTTGTATTTTAGTGCTTCATGTTAATGGACCCATAACTGTTACATAAAACACATCTATCTGCAAAGGTTTCGGAACAAACATTTATACCAAGCCTGTTTAAAAGTTGGCAGCCATGGTGAATAGTAAATAACAGTGAATAGGAGAAAACATAAATAAACAGATCAATTAAATAACAGGTTGTTTCCAAAGAATTTTTTAAAAGGTTGCTGACCTGTCAAGGTAGACACATCCAGCACCCAGATTAATGCAGCATGAAGTAGGTATCATCAGGGTTTCATAGCAGTCCATTTCAGTTCCCTCATGTAAACGTATTTTCCCTAATTTTTGGAATATAATCAGTGTTTAATCAATCCCCTACTACACTCTAAGTTGCAAAAGCCATATTCACTTGCTCGCCACTTCTTGTCACTTCCCAATTATCATACTCAGACTCAACTATGCTTCTATGTTCCCTAAGTTAACTATTTTTGACCACTTACTTTAGGTTAGATAGTTGTGAAATCTCCATCACACCTGAACTTCATAAAAACATGCATATTAAAGTTTCAAATGAACTTCAGTTCCTCAGTTTTATGTTGCTAACAATACCTAGCTCACAGGATTAAAGGGGATATTGTAAGCAAGTACCTTGCACGTAGTAGGAACTCAGTGAAGGTTAGATTTCTCTTCTGCAGTTCTTCTCAGTGGGCTGAATCTCCACTTCATACGCTCAGGACCATTGACTGGCATGAAATAAAAGTCACTTTACATAGTTTAAACCTGCTTCATGTACACATCCTACCTTTGAAGCTTCCTGAGGGCAGGAACCATGCATCTTCAAATCTTCATTTTTGCACCCCAGGGTCTGGCGTGGGTAAGTGCAACAAAACTCAGTGCTGCCCCTTCTTTTCTGGTTGGTGAAGGAGCTCTGGGAGGGTGAGAATGGGGGCATCGCCTGTCATTAAGAGTGTTTTTTAGTTATGCCCAGGTTAGCAAATAAAAGCAAGATGACTTTTTAATTACTTGAAAACTTTGTCACCAAAGTTTGGCACTAATAGTCCACGGAGGAAGAAGATCTGAGTAAATAATTAGCTCCAGAAAAAAACATGCCATGCACATTAAAGATGGGGACAATAAGAGAGCCCCAGCAATTTCACTCCAATACGGCATCCTAGCCAGTAGACTCTAGTCCCTCTACATGATCTAAGGTGACTGTACTCTCATCTTAACACGTGAAAGAAATTTCCTGGGCAAAACCCCACAATTCAAATAACTAGCCATTAACAAAAGCCTTAGGCATTTATTTGCTAAATATGAGTTTAATTTAGCCAAGTTTCATTGTAGTTTCAGGGGAAGGTAATGTTTGACTCAACTAAGGTGTTATTTATATAAATGAAGAGAAAACACAGTGGACAAAAAATAAAGGTTTTTGAAAGACAATGAAATGTAGCTTTGAGAGCCATATTTATTTTAAAAGGAGCAGAAATCTAGAACTTGCTTCTGATATACTAGAAAGAACTAACCATGATAAAACTGCACTCTATGGTACTCATAAGTCATTAATAAGTGAAACATTAGCACTTCTTCTTTGTGATGAATCAAAACTACAGCAAAAGTGGCAAGCTATAAAAATACACCTCCATTGTTTATTTTGACACTGCCAGAGATAACTGCCAACAGAGTTGCTAATCCCTTTTATAATTTACACATGCAGTATATTTGCATATATGTAAAACATAATGCATACATTTTATATTAATCTTACATTTTATCTATAGTTTTAATTGTACGATTTACACTATGATTATATCACACAAATGCTTTTGAAACTTGTGCGAGAGACTATAAAGGAATGTACACAAATGAGAGTAATTGTATTAGGTAGTGAGAGAGACTACGAGTGACTTTTGAATAGTTAATGACTGAGAATTTTCTGAAGTTGGTAAGAGACATCAAGTCACAGAATTAAGAAGACTCATGAATCCCAAGCAGGATAAATAGAAAGAAATCTACACTTATGCAAATTCTAGTAAAACTGCTTTAAAACCCTAATATAGAGAGAAAAAAATATCAAAATCACCAGATTTTCAAAAGACAGATTACTTTCAAAGGAGTCTTATCAGATTTCTCAATAGAGATAATGGAAACTAGAATTCAAAAGAAATGACATATTCTGAAAGAAAATAATTTTATACTAGGCAAAAATATCCTCCAGGAATGACATTTTCAGAGAAAAATAAAATAACTTTTCACCAGCAGACTAGCACTTAAAGAATTACCAAATGGAGTTCTTCAGGAAATGATCAGTGTGTAAATTTAGAAATACAGAAAGTAATAAAGAGATAATGTAAATATGTCAATACATCTAAACGCATATGACTTCACTAGGCAACACTGATTATGTGTTGGGGGCAGCTAAAAATAAAATACATGACAACAATTGCATAAAATTCCACAGAAGGCAAATAGAAATGTCCTCAGGTTTTGTATTATCCAGAAAGAGAGTAAAACTAACAGGTAATGTTAGGCTTTGAAAAGTCAAGACTGCACGTTGTAATCTTCAGTAAAACTATTGATAGAGTATTAAAAGGATGAGTAACCATCAGACTAGTAGAAGAGGAATACAGAATACTAAAATCTGTTCCACCGAAACAGAATAAAACAAGAAAGGAAAGAGGAACATAAAATGGTACCAATAGAAATAAAATACGAAGACGTTAGATTTAAATCCAAACATATTAAGTAAATACAGTAAATGTAAACAGACTGTATATCCTACTTAAGACAAAGATGATCAAAATTCACTAAAAAACAATTTATGTTATTTACAAGAGGTCTATTAAAACATAAGGACAGAAAGATTGAAAGTAGAGTCATAGAAAAAGATAAACCATGCATTCAGTAGCCAAAAGAAAGATGGTGAGTTACAGTAGTATCAGACTTTAAGGAAAAAGTATTACTACAATTTGAGTGACATTTCATAATTACAAGAATTCAATTTATCAAAACAGTATTGGAATTGTTTGCACCCAGCAAAGTTGCCTTAAAACACATAAGGAAAAATATATAAAGAAAAATTTACAGAGCTACAAGACGAAACAGACAATCTACAGCCATAATGAGAGGTTTTAACACACTCTTATAGTAACTCTTACAACCCTTGTAAGAAGTAGATAAAAAGTCAGTAAAGATAGAGATATAAAATGCAAGATTGACAAATGTGGTCTAATAGACATATATAGAATACTGAATCCAATAAGGGCAGAATGCACTAACTACGCAGGAAACAGTTTCCAAAAAAATTGATAATGTCCTATCTCATAAAGCAAGTCTCCATGTGTTTTAAGAGAATGAGATAATAAAGAATATGGTCTCTCACCACAATACAACTAAGGTAGAAATCACCAACAAAAAGATCATCAAAAAGTCATGTTTGGGAAATAAAATACTACACTTCAAAGTAATGCAGATTTTTTTAAAAAAGTATAAATTAGAAAATATTTTTAACTGAATGATAATGAAAATACTATATATCAAAACTTGTGGAAAGCATCTGAAGTGTGCTCCTTAAGGGGAATTTTATCATTTTAATTGCACATAGAGCAATATAAAAGAAGAAAGGCTAAAAAAATGATGAATTAAATTAAATAAGTCAGAGAAAGGCAAGTATCATATGATCTCTGATATGTGGATCTTAAACATAATAAAACAGAAAACCAAAAAAAAAAAAAAAAAGTAAGCTCATACAGAGAACAGATGGTGAAATGCCAGAGGTGGGAGATAGGGGTATGAGAAATGGGTAACTAAGTTTGCTTTTAGTTTAAATAAATTAAAAAAAAACAAAACACTAACTTCTTTGTGTCTTAGTTTTCAGGATTCTTTCTTCTCAGGAATGTTGTTATTCACGAGAAGGAAAAGAAGGAGAAGGAGAGGAAGAGGAAGAAAAATTTTGCTTACACAACATTGAAAACTAAAATATTATCACCACACACCTATTAGAAAGGCTAACATCTAAATACTGACACCACCAAATGCTGACAAGGATGTGGAGCAAGAGGAACACTCAACTCATTGCTGGCAGAAATGCAAAGTGACGCAGCCACTACGGAAGACAGCTTGGCAATTTCTTACAAAATGCAACACACATTTACCATAGGATCCATGTGTTGGCAGATCCATGTTCTCTCTGAAGGCCTTAGGGGAGGATCCTTCCTGGCCTCTTCCTGGTTTCTGGTGGTTATCAGCCACCCTACACATCCTTTGGCTTACAGATGCATCCTTCCAATCTCTGTCTCTGTCTTCACATGGTGTTTTCCTCTTTGTGCGTCTTTGTTTCTCCTTTTTTTTTTTTATAAGGACACCAGTCGTACTGGAGTAGGGCCAACCTATACCAGTATGATCTCATCTTAACTTGACTACATCTGCAACAAAAACAAAATAAAACAAAACAAAAAAACCCTATTTGGAAATAGGGTCACATTCACAGATACTAAGATTTAAGACTTCGACATAACATACTTGGATTTAAGACACCAACATAATTTTGGGGGGCACAATTTAACCCACAAAACAAGGACTCATCCTACTGTCACTTCTTTTTGGACTGAATGTCCTGGCCAGTGCAATAAGGCAAGAAAAAGAAATAAAAGGTATACAGATTAAAAGGAAGGAATAAAACTATTATTATTCATGGATGATATAGTTGCTTATGCAGAAGAATCCTAAGTAATTCACAGATAATTTACTAGAATTAGTAAGTTTAACAAACTAGTCTATTGAAGATTAACATACAAAATTAACTTTACTATGATATAATACCAACAAACAGGAAAATAAGTGTTTAAAAAGATATAATTTACAGTAGCATAAAAAAGCCAAACACCTTGAAATCAATCTACATATGTGTGAGACCTTTAGGCAGACAACTATGAAAACTTACTGAGAGAAATTAAAGATCTAAATAAATGGAGGAATATGCCAAGTCTTTCCAAAATGATCTATACATGCAATGCAATTCCAATCAAAATCCCAGTATGGAAACTGACAAGCTGGTTCTCAAATTTATATGGACATGTAAAGGGTCAAGAACAGCCAAGAATCTGTTGAATAAAGTGAGAAGACTTGTACTACTAAATACGAAGACTTATTTTAAAGCTGTTTTCATTAAGATAATGTGGTGTTGCCACAAAGATAGACAAATATGCCAATGGGACAGAAAAGAGGGTCCACAAACAAACCCATGCAGGTGGGGACCCTTGTTCCATGACAGAAGTAGCATTACAGAGCAGCAAGTAAAGAAGACATTTTTCAATAAATTGTGCTGAAACAAGTGGAATTTATATGGAAAAACAATAATAAATTCAACCCCTACCTTGTACTAGGCATCAAAATAGCTACACACAAAAACATGGATGAATTTCACACACATAAATTTGAGCAAAAGAAGACATATAGTAAGATTCCATTTACATAAAGTTAAAACAAAACTAAACCATATTGTAAGTAGTCAGGATTGTGGTTAATTTAGGGAGAAGCAAGCATTAATAACTGGGAGGGGGTACAAGAGGAATTTCTAGAGAGCTGATGAGTATTTCACTTCTTTGGATGGGTGGGGTTCTAGCTGTATTTGCTTTGTGATAATTCCTTGATCTGCACATTTACATTTTGTGTGCTTTCCTTTATTTGCATTAATCTTCCCAATAAAATGATTTTTAAAAGTAGATAGACACATTTATTCACTGAACAAATACTTACTGAGAAATCACTATACACCAGACATTGTACTAGACCTGGATCAAAAAGAATAAATACAGGACTAAGTGCTCTGATACCCTTAGCTTGCTACAAAATGGGGACTCTTTCTTTATTGTGGGTAGGGGTGATGAGGCAAGCCATTAGATCCTTCACTGGACTGAAATATCAAAATAGTTCAGAAATGTTCTGCCCAGCCCTCAAAAGTTGTTACTCCTTGTGTACATAATAAATGGTTACAGTGTAATTTAAATTTTTTTTCAGTGTAATTTTAGATCTACACTTAGTCACACATAGGAATCCTATCTGCTTACCCAAGGAAAATCCTGTCTTGAAAGTCGTGGCACCAGCCCCTAAGAAAACCAAGAGAATACTATTATTAATTTGTAGTTAATTTTAGAGCTATTACACTAAAATAAAAGGTTCTTTTAAGTCCTAATTCAAAAAGCACCGAGATTTAAAATAACGTTTTCCTGATTATAAAATACTTACATGCTCAATGTAGAACATCTGGGAGAACAGAAAATTACAAAGAAAACAAAAATCCATTATTCTATCACCATAGCTACTGTAGATGTTTTGGTACATTCCTTTTCATCTTTAAAATGCCTTTATATATTTATTTTCACAGCTGAGATCCTAATTTTTATGTGATTTTGCAACCCACGTTTTCCACTTAAAAATATGAGCATTTCCCCAAGCCATTAAATAATTTTCCTAAACATAATTCTTAAGTTTATAAAAATATGTCCCCAACTTGAATCATCTCAGTGAGAAGTCATTCATTATGTGGAATCACGTCAAAACATCCGGGATCCCAAAGTTCTGAGAGGCATCCAAACCTTAACTAAAGCCTCCGATGGAACCTTGGAACCTGGCTGGGGTGGCAGAAGCTACTCCAAGGGCAGATGCGGTCACAGACGCGGACCGGTCCTCAGAATCCCCCGCCCTGGAATTCGCAAGTTGCCAGGCGGACCCGGAGCCCAGAGAGTCATCGACTTTGGATCAGGTTTAATATGCGTCTACGCGGTAAGTTCCTGGAGATGCCCCAGCGCGCACCCCTCAGCTCCCGGGTCCCAGTCGAGGCTGCCAAACCCCAGCAGCGCTGGCTCACTCCTGACCCCGGCGCCCAGCGGACCCTCCGCCCTCGCGGCGGTTGGACGCGGCTGCGCCCTCGGTGGCGCGCCTCTGCAAGTCCCTAGTGTGGGTCGCTGGGCTGAACTTGGGAGGAGGCGCTCCAGGTTCCAGCCCTGCCCCAGCCGCTCCATCCACAACCCCCCCACCCCCTCCACCGGGAAGTGCGCAGGCGCAGCCGGCCAGGAGTCCCGCCAGCTGTCGCGTCGGAGTCGCTGCTGCCACTGCCACCGCTCACCATGGGCTCGAGTCCCCGGCTGCTGCTTTCTCTCGTGCTTTGCGTGGGGCTCAGCGCGCTCGTGCCTTCTACGGGGGCCTCGGGCGTCCGTAAGAGAGGCCCCTCGGTGACGGCCAAGGTGACCGAGCGGCGGGCAGCAACTTCCCCTCGTGCTGGCCGTGGGGGATGAGGCAGCTTTGGGGACTGGAATCTCCGGGCGAGGGGCGGGGAGGGGGCTTCCCGGGCGCTGAGGACTGGAGGCGGGGGCGGGGCTTGGTGGGAGGGGGCTGCCCGCGCGCGGGGGCCGCTATCCCCCTGGAGATTTGAGGGCGCAGGGCCGTGTCCCAGCCTGCCCCCTCCACAGACTGTCTGAACTCTGTCTCCCGGGCTGGTGGTCCGACGTGACCGGCCCAGGAGCTGGGAGAAGCTTCCGGAACCGGTGGGCCCTTTCTCCAGGAAGGAGACAACCGAGTACTTCCTACGGCGTGGCGGGGACTCCGGAATAGAAGCAGGAAGAATGTGGGGCGGGGTGGCGGGGTAGGGAGAGGATGGGCGGAGGAGACGCGCTTCGAGTGGAGGGGTTGCACTGGGCCGCCCGCCGCGGCTGTCACCCGGCCTGGCGGAGCCCAGGTCCAGCTCCTGTTGCAGTGGTGCCGGTGCAGGCGTTACCTGGCTTTTCTTAAACGAAAGGCTGTTCTTCTCAATGTAGAAATCATCATCCTCCCCTGCGAGGGAGAGGTGCTATTTGCAGACTCTGGCGGCTGGCGGGTAGACTCTGGACTTGGGATGGTCCCAGCACAGCACGGGCGGCACCTGTGTAACTGAGACCAGCCTTTTCATCTCGAGTAGGCGGGACATCTGCCATAGACTGTGTCTTTACCGCTTCAGCTCTTTTTTTTTTTTCCAGCATGTTTACCCAAGGCTAGAAGATAATGGGAGGGTGCAGGGAGAGACGAAGGGAGGGAATGATTTGGTGCCCTTGATCATCACTTCGAGAAAACCCGCTGGCGGTAGCGTCTTGGAATCTGGAAGGAAGGGCAGCTGCAAGTGGTCTTAACAATCAGTCTGGTGTTTGCCAGGAGAAATGATAGTGTTGAACTAGTAGTAGAATGTCTTCACCCTCTACCACAGACCCCACCTGAGGACAGGTCAGGATAAAGGGCGGGGGAGGTTCAGTCCAAAATCTGATGGAGCCTAAGGGTGAACAGAAAGGCCGCGCTACGGGGTGTGTGCAGTGATAAACTGAGCCTGATTGATTTGAGCGCTGATTCTCCTCCCAGCCCCTTGATGTTTTTTGCGTATCTAAGTTTTGGGAAATAGCTTACACAAGGCCACAGAGCTGAAGGGTTGGGGGTGGGGGGAGGAGTGGTGCTTTAGCCTGCAGATACTGCGGGGGGGGGTGTGTCTCATGGGATACAGCCATAAACATAAAATTCATAAAATGATGAAATGAAGGAAATACACCCTAATATAGGGTTTTAAAGAATGGGATTGACATGATCTCATATATGCTTTTAAACAATTACTGTGGCTGCTCAGTGGAGAGTGAAGTGGGAGGTCATTCAGAGCTCCAGGTCAGAGTCCAGATGGTGGTGGCTTGGAATAGGGGGGATATTTGTGGAAATGGGAAACCAGGGAGGGACTGAAAATAGACTTTTGAAGTATAACTAACAGGACTTGCTGATGGTTTAGATAGGGATAGGGGAGTGGGAGTAGGTTTGCCAGATAAAATACAGGATGCCCTGTTAGATGTGAATTTCAGATAAGCAACAAATAATTTCTTAGTGTGAGGACATCACCTATACTATTTGGGAACAAGCTTCACCCTGGAAGCTTTCAGACCTACCAGTTCAGAGACCCACCCCAGAGCAAGTAATCACAATCTGTGGAGGTGTGCAGCCTGGACTGGGAATCTCTCAGAGAGGGGAGGAAGCTGGGGGCTGCACGAGGGGGAAAGTTGGGGCATCTCAGCCTCGAGTCCAGGGTGCTGTCACTGAGTTTTCCTGTGCTGTACTTTTGAAATAGTCACTCAGCGTATCTCCTTTTTTCTCCACGAGTTTGTCATTAAGTTCTAAAAACTAGCTGTGTAGGCATGTCCTTCTACAGATTCATCTCTGTTGAATTACCTTTTCAGTGGGCATTTTAAAAATAGCGAATCTATTGGAAAATGGAGACATTAAAAATGATTTGTCTGATATGGAAAAGTAGATTAATTGGTTATCATTCTAGTGTATTGTTTTCCCAGTAGTCTTTTTTTTTTTAATCTTTTTTGGGAGGGAGGAGGTTACTAGGTTTATTTATTTTTATTTTATTATAATTTTAAGTAGAGGTACTGGGGATTGAACCCAGGACCTTGTGCATGCTAAGCACACAATCTACCACTGAGCTATATCTACCCCTCTCCTAGGAGTCTTTACTTTTTCCTCTGATTTTGTTTAAAAATAGGAATCTGTAAATAAGAGAGGTGTGAAGTACTGCACCCCCCTCCCAGGGCCCTTTCATGGCACTTACCTTGTCCATGAATCCTGCTGACAGCCACCACCTCAGCTTCCTGCCCAGCCATAGAGGGCTAGGGTCAGGGCTCTGTCTCGAAGTCCACTGAATTGGCACTGGCAGCCCTGCATTTTCCAGCAGATGCCATGGGCTCTGTGCAGGGAAAGGCACCACGAGTATAGAAAGTGATGCTGCTGTCTTTCCAGTTGCACACACGTCACAGCTTGCTGGCACTTTCTGCAGCTTGGTTGGCCAAGAGGCTGAGGCCGGAGTAACAGTGAGTTATCTGATAATGTCTGAGGCTTGCCTCTGTAAATAGAGATAGAAATAATACCTACTGGAGGCAGGGTTTTGCATATTAGATGTGATAATGCTGGTAAAGCACTTAGCCCCAGTTGAAGTTCCTGATTTAAGAGGTCAATTGTTAGTGTTATTCGTGTTGTCTTAGTAATCCTCACGGGCAGTGCAGCCCTGAGAGAAATCATCATCTGCGTACAGGTGAGGAAAAGGAGCTCAGAGTTGCCCAAGGTCCCACAGCCACTTATTAGTGGAGCTAGGTTTGGGAACAGTTTCCTTGACATCACAGCTCACATACTTGGTGTCTTCCCCAGCTGCTTTGCAAATGGAAGCAGGATTAACAATACAGGGGTTTGGGGCAGACTGTTTTGAGTGCCTCTGGCCTCTTCCCCTGTCTCTCCTCACCTCCAGTGCCCCATAATTTTCAAATGACTTTCAAGGGCAGCCATAAGGGGAAAAAGGAGTGACTGAGGCCCCTGCTCCTGAAGTGCAACGTGGAATCCAAGTTCCACCTTTTCCAGGAAGCCCGCCCTGATCCCTACAGAAGCAACCTCTGTCCGTGGCATTTTATCTGTGCACGTCTTCTGATAAAACCTGACTTCCCATTATATTATAGCTCCCTGTACATGTGCTTTCTCTCCTGTGGGACTGTGACTCCAGGGGGTAGGGGCTTTGCAGCCCCACCACTTGTTTAGCACAGGGCCTGTTCCCAAGGACAGGCATCAAAGTCAGATGATCTAGGGTGAGAGGGTTTGCCTGACAGCCACCCTGGCCACCTGCACCGAGTGTGTAGGTGTGTGTGTCCTGGTCCTCATTATCACCTTACATTGAACTATTTAGACTTTCTTGAGAACCTGCTTGAGCTGACACTGTGCTGGGCACTGGGGATCTAAGAACAGCTTTTCTACCGCCTTAGGGAATCCTTGCATAGTCAGAGAGAGCCATATTAACGATCAATGGAAGTCTAACTGGACTCAGCCTCAGACTGAAATTTTGTCTTTCACACTTCTAACATGGCCTAACAAAACCTGTATCTTTTAGTCAGCATCCTTCCTTCGCCATCTGGAGCTGGTGAGAGTTTCCCTTCCCAGCCGGTTGTGGTCAGAAGGGTTGTGGTGCTTCTCTGCACGTGGATCAGATTTCCTGCCTTGGTGCTCTGGTTCCAGAAAGAACTCTGCCAGGTGGGGCTTGTGTCCACTCTTGTCCCTGGAGGCTGCTCCCTTCTTTCAGGCTGGCCTCACATCACACCTTCTTTAGGATGCCTTCCTTCAGCCCTTAACATCCCTCCAGAACGCTATACAGTGTTCTTGGGGCACTTGTCACATGTGGCCACCTTGTATTGTGGTTGTTCATTTTCTTGGCCTGTCTTCCTTTTTTTTTTTATTTGAAGTTTAGTTGATTTACAATGTTGTGTTAATTTCTCGTGCATAGCAAAGTAACTCAGTTGTGTGTGTGTGTGTATTTTTTCATACTCTTTTCCATTATGGTTTATTATAGGATATTGAATATAGTTCCCCATGCTGTTCATCTATTTTATATATAGTAGTGTGTATCTGTTGATCCCAAACTCTTGATTTATCCCTCTCCTCCTTTCCCCTTTGGTAACCATAAGTTTATTTTCTACAACTCTGAGTCTGTTTCTGTTTTGTACGTAAGTTCATTTGTATCATTTTTTAGATTCCACATATAAGTGATCTCATA